ACTCACGTTTTTTATTTACAGACCAGTCCTATGCATGTTTATTCAGAAGTCTCACAGAATTCAACAATATTGGCTCCTAGTAAGCTTGCATAAGATCATGGCCTTAGACTTTAAGTCTCCTAGCAGAGACTTGTTCAACTCGTTGGTGTACAGGACCTAGTTTGTGTACTTTAGAAGATTTAGCAAATAACAAAAGGCTGCTGCTGCCACTAAACAAGAAATAAAATTCCTGTACTTTCATTCATATTACTCATTCCCTCCCAAGTTTATATTATTTTAATTAATGAATTTTGTTCATCATACTTGACTGGGTACATTTCAGAAAGGACACTGAAGCCTGAGTTTGTTGTTTGTATCTTGAAAAATATCCAGTTATTTCCTTCAAAGTCTGAATTAATTATCTACAGTAATTGCATAAACTCCCTAGGATACTGTAGCACAATGGTAGTGGAGATGGGTCACTGAATGGTGCCATTAAATCCTTCAGTGTTTGATTTATGGAATTGTTTACCCCATTTTCTTTTGTTCAAACCTATTACTGTTAAGCAAAGATCTTTCACTGCCAAGTTTGTTTTTTGGTGGGGGGTGGTGGAGGAGATGGTATATTTTTATTACAAAACCATTACATAAAAACAGCTGCTGTGACTGATAAGACACAAAATAAAATAAAATACCATGTGCTAAATTCAATAAAACCATGCACTGCTTATAGAAACCGTTAGACTGAAAAGTAACACCGCAACAATATATTTAAATCTTACTGAACTACACCTACAGACACACAATCCACGCTACACACATTCAGTCATGACATGTATCTTTTTTATCTTGCCTCCTTAAAAGTGATATACGTGCTGTTTTATGAAGTGCAAAATCATCAAGTCTACTGAAGCACAGATCCCCCCCCCCCGCAGTATATTAACCACATCTGGAATGTTGTTCACTGTCCTGAGCCCTATGCATAGGGGAGGGTGGTCTACAAATTAATTAAATAAACAAACCTGCAATCCTGCTGCATAAACAGGTCATGAGAAAGCCAAAATCCAGCTGCTCCCAAATAGAGATGTAAAATTTCCAGAAATTTTGAAACCACAGAAGTAAACTGGGTTTTCCCCTAGGTACTTTTTTTTGGGGGGGGGGATTTGGGGGGAAATTGAAATATATGCAATACTTATTCTCCTATCAAACCTAAACTAACCCTAATCCCAACATGCATCATTTGTACTTCCTGAACATATAAAATTGCAACATTTCACAGATTTATTAACTTTACAAGTTATAAATGCCTTAGTTTTCTATAAGCAAAACTGCAATTATAACCAATATTTAAAATAAAATTGCAAGCCGATGCACCCTATGCTATTGTAGCTCATGAACCTTAATTTTTGAAATCTGGTAAGAGAAAACTCAATTCTTAATGGAACTTTCAGAGTTTTCCCCTTAGCCTTTGGTGCAGTTTCTGCTCTACCACCTTCTGATCTTTCTTCCCTCCAGCAAGGTGGGCAATAAGCTACTTATTACCCAACCTATGGGCATATGTGTCATCAACAAGGTCAACCACGTCAGGTCAAAAGGACAACAGAATGTATGCAACCAATGCTCCCTCTAAGCTGTGGAGTCCTGTGAGCAAAAATTCTTCTTTGGCCCCGGTCACATGGGCTGGAAAATGTGGGGGGGGGGAGCGTGGCTGTTTGCCCCGGAACAAAGTAACGTGCGGCAGCCCAATCAGACGTCCTGTCGAGGTCCCGTGGTTAGGCCGTTAGGTGCCGATCACACGGCTAGTCTGCAGCGCAGCAAAGAAGCAGCATGGCACGATCACACCGGCAATCGCGCCGCGCTGCTTCCGTGGCAAAAGGGATTTTTTTTTGTTTCGCCAAACTTTGTGCATGTGCATGATCGTTTGTGCGCATCCTGTGGAGACTTTAAAAAAAACACATTTGGTTTGCAACAGGACATGGGCGGGCGCCGGATGCCACGGGTTTCCAGTGGAAACGCGATCAGACACCCACCCTTGCCCCGCGTTTTCCGGAAACTAGTACATCGTATGTGATGGTTTTTTACCCTGCATCTTCGGCAACAAGCCACGGGTTAGCCACGGGTGCACTACGCTTCCCAGATGTTGCGGTGTGATCACGCCCAGAAAATCCACCTATCATCCGTGTCTTCAGCGTGGCAACTTCTCCGTGTGAGCCAGTAGCTCTGTGAGCTACTGGCATTAAAGTTGTGAGCAGGTGATTTGGCTACTGCATAAATTAGTTTGTTCTGGAGCCATCCATCCTGAGCTAAGACAGAAATGTGTGAGCTGGAGGCTAAAAAACTGTGAGCTAGCTCACACTAACTCAGCTTAGAGGGAACACTGTCCCCAACAGGTGAAAAGCAATGAAAGCCCTGCATGTTCCCCTCATAAGACTAGGTATCCTTCTAAGTACAGAAATGCATCTTGGATTTAAGAGCGATGTATGTCTACAGCATGTCCACACTGTTTTTGAAAGCATTTGACTCATTCTAAAAGAGAAAATATTTCATAGTTTTTGTAGCACTCCCCAATTTTCTTATTTTTCCATTGGAAAAACTGAAAAAAGTCCCTGGAAAAAACCTTGGGGTTTTGCCTTGAATTTTTCTGTTTTTTTCCCCTGGGCCTTCACATCTTTAGTCCCATATTTGTCCCACAGGAGAAAAATATTTGTTGTGCCAGCTTAGGAGGCATACTAAAAAGAGCTTTGCTTAATGAAAGGCATCAGTTTCAGTTTGGCCAGTTTGGTGTAGTGGTTAAGTGTGCGGACTCTAATCTGGGAGAACCGGGTTTGATTCCCCACTCCTCCACTTGCACCTACTGATGTGACCTTGGGTCAGTCACAAGTTCTGGCACTTGCTGTCCTTGAAAAAGAGCAGTTTGTGTCAGAGTTCTCTCAGTTCCACCCACCTCACAGGGTGTCTGTTGTGGGGAGGGGAAGGGAGAGGAGTTTGTAGGCCGCTCTGAGACTCCAAGTGAAGAGCGGGGTATAAATCCAATCTCCTCTTCTCTTCTTCTTCTTTATTAACTTTGTACCTCCAGGACACATGAATTTACTGAGAGCACAAGTTTCAACATGCAGGTTTGCACTCCCCCTCCTCATACAAAGATAAATCCATTCCCAGAACTCAAACGGATGGCAAAACACTTGTTCAAGTTACAGCTATAAGAAACCACACAGAACTTTGAATCAATGCCCCTCCCCAAAAGTACCCTGTGCATTATTTGGTAATTATTGGTCAGGAGGTGCCCCAAGGCAAAACACTTGTTCAAGTTACAGCTCCTTCTGACTATAAGAAACCACACAGAACTTTGAATCAATGCCCCTCCCCAAAAGTACCCTGTGCATTATTTGGTAATTATTGGTCAGGAGGTGCCCCAAGGCCTACTTGTTTGTTCAGGTTTGTTCAGACACCCTGTGAGGTAGGTGAGGCTGAGAGAGCTCTTTCGAGAACTGTTCTTGAGAGAATAGCTCTTGAGAGAACTTGTGACTGACCCAAGGTCACGCCAACAGCTGCATGCGGAGGAGTGGAGAATCAAACCTGGTTCTTCCATTCAGAGTCCGCGCTCAACCACTACACCAAACTGAATAAGATAGCAAGGCATCACAGGAAGAGAAGGATCTCATTTTCTTGGAAGTGATTCAGAAGAGTATATAGACAATCATTATAAAGGCAAAATGGAAGAAAGGAATATGCACAACTGGGATTTCCTCTTTTAAAAGCTCTTATACTATGCACCCAAATTGTTTTTTCAACCGAGGGTAGATACTGTACAATAGTTTTGCCACAGAGTTTCCGCTAATTCCTAGAGAGGCATGACATCACTTCCAGGTTTGCTGAGAAGTGACATCACACTGTCACTGACAGTTGCCGCCATATACCTCAGTCTCCCACTGTGCAAACAATGATCTACTGACAGCCTATTACTTGACCCAAACCCAATACTGTTAAACATGCCATGAAATCAAGAATGCCCATGTATAAGTAACAGACTACTGTTTATTGCATCATGCAGTCAGGACGGAGGACCAGTTGCTCCCAAGCCCTGCAAGAGACAGGATCTCAAACACACACATCATTTAGGAGTAGACACCCCTGTGCGACAAATCTTCAGAGAGATTGAACCCTTTCCTTCCCAACTGTGTCACATACTGTAGCCACAAGTTCATAACTACAGGAACTCAGAAGAGATATAGGATTTGGGAGGAATTATGAAGCAAATATGCACATCCAGTCATCACAGTGGGATAGAAAAACAGTGCCCAAAAGTCCATTGCATTTTCTGTGGTGAATAAAGGCCTCTATGTTATCTGGCATGATGGAATTTTCCAGAGTCTCTGGAAGACAAAAGCTTTTTCCTGTTAGCATGATCACCTGTAGTTTTTGCTATCAGGTGTTCTAATAAATCCATGATTTAAATGTTTGACAATTACTTGATAACACTTGACTCATATGTCAGCAATCAATTCATTAAGTTTTTTCAGTGTTAGTCAAATGTCAACACACGAACATGGATCCACAGTTGTGCTCATCAGCTATACTTTGTTGAGTGGATTTTTAATTCGATGAAAGACTGGAGATGGTAGTCTTTCCATGACATTGCTGTAAGCTTCAGAGACAAGCAGAAAGTTGTGAGACATCTTGTTCCTTTCTGAGTGATTTTCAAAGGCAGCCCCAACCCTATCACCATTCCGTGGGAGGTGGGAGGTGTTTGTCACTACGAAACAGACAACTTTGCACGGTGTTAAACCTTTCACCACAGCTAACACACACCCTTGTGCTTAGCCAGGCAGAAGTAAAAAGTATTATTAGTACTCTCACATGATAATATCCTCCCTCCCATAAAGTGACGTCACGGTTTTGCACCCTGATCACGATCCCACTCACCGCGTCACTCACGCTTACGACAACTTATAATTGCATACAAAAAAGCTTATTCTAGCCACTTCACCAAACAATGCCCCCCCCCACACCGCCCGTCTTACCGTCGCTTTGTTTACCCCGCCGATCTCTCCTCGATTACCCTTCCAGTTCACTGCGCATGCGCGACTTACCCTACGGGATGCGATTTTTTAAGAGCGACGCGGCCGCTGTCAGGATGGCGTTCTTCCGGCTTGGTTCCTCTCTTTCCGATCGTCTTTGTGGTGTGGAGGAACGGCTGAGTATGTACGCGCTAGGGGCTTGCGCGTGCGCGTGAGACGTGGCCGAGGCTGTCATTGGCGAGAAAGAGGGCCTGGCTGGAGCTTGCCTCGCCGGTAAGACTCCAAAGAGGGGGGCGGGAGAAGGCTTCTTGTCCCTATTTTTTTTAAATGCACAGATATCTATAATATATTTCTAATTTGCACATGCAAATTGTATGTCCGAATGAGAAATAGTGGCTCAAAAGCTTCAACATGCTATATTTTGGTGTGTGGGGGGAATACTACCTGTCTCCCCACCCCGTCGAAATAGATGTCAAATGAAGATTGTATCTCATCTCACTGTCGCCCCATCTACGAGCCAGCCAAGTCACTGTGTTTGGTTAGATTCAAGTGGGTAGGCGTGTTGGGGTGAAGCAGCTGAGCAACGTTTGAGTCCAGTGGCACCTTTAAGACCAACAAAGTCTAATTCAAGGTATAAGCTTTCGTGTGCAAGCACACTTCTTCAGAAACCTGATATCTGAAGAAGTGTGCGTGCACATGAAAGCTTATACCTTGAATTAGACTTTGTTGGTCTTAAAGGTGCCACTGGACTCAGACTTCGTGTTTGAATATGTTATTGTTATTCCCTGTAGTGCCCTAGTCTGCTTGCTAGTTTGAGTGGCACACTAGGCATGATGATTTTTAAGCGTGTTGTGCCTGAATCCCCCCACCCCTGACTGGACTTTGACATGGACAGTAATGCATCAGATGCTCAGGAATTCATCTCACAAGTGGGTGGGCCCTGATTCTGTAAAGATGATGGATACCTCTTAACGGATGGGGCTGAGAGAGGAATAACATCTTTTGGCAGCCCTGGTCTCACCTAGCCTGGGTTTTAAAGCAGGACATTCAGTGGCAGTCCCTTTAGCTGTATTCTCATATTCTGAATGCTCAGAACTGCCCCATTTATCAAACACTTTCCTGCGCTCCTTGGATAAACCAAAACAACATTTCATGCCTCTTGAAAAAGTCATTTAAATGTTAGCTAAGGTAAAGGTAAAGGTTCCCTTGCTCGAAAGCCAGTCGAGTCCGACTCTAGGGTTGCAGTGCTCATCTCCGTTTCAAAGCCGAAGAGCCAGCGCTGTCCGAAGACGTTTCCGTGGTCATGTGGCCGGCATGACTAAACACCAAGGCGCACAGAACGCTGTTACCTTCCCACCGAAGTGGTCCCTATTTATCTACTTGCAATTTCTTGCTTTCGAACTGCTAGGTTGGCAGGAGCTGGAACTAGAGACGGGAGCTCACTCCATCATGCGGCACCCGGGTCTCGAACTGCTGAACTACTGACCTTCCACAGCCAGCAGTTCAGCGTCTTAACCACTGAGCCACCGCAGCTCCTAAATGTCAGCTACTTCTCTCCTAATTGAACTATGCTCTGTCCACTTGCCCTCAGCATTCTGTACAGCACTCAGCACAGGGATCCTCAACCTTTTTGAGCTTGTGGGCACCTTTGGACACCTACAAAGTGGCTGCTGAAGATTACTTTTAGTCACACAGTGAAGATCCTTGGGCTGTGATGGCAGCTGTTGCCAAAGCAAGATTTTTAGAAATCTGCACAGCCATTCAAATCTCCAGTCAGAAGGCATGCTGGGAGGGTGTTTTATGACTGGTTAAATTTTAGCTCAGGTATTGAGAGAATATGATTAAGTGAAGAATAATAAGAATGACTTATGAAATAGTTGTGAAATTGTAATGAGAAGACATGCATGCAAAATGCTAAATGGGAATTTTGTATATTTCTGTCTATTTTCTTTCTTCCCCTCTTTTCCCCTTTCCCCTTTTCTTTATATAAACTAATAAAATTCTTTTTTTTAAAAGGCATGCTGGGTAAAGCCACACCTGGCCCACCTACTTTCTAAAAACAGAGTATCTTATTCCAAGAAACTGAAATACTGAACAACACATCCTGTTACCATTAACTTGTTAATTAATGATTTGGAGTTGGGAGTAAGTAGTGAAGTGGCTAAGTTTGCGGATGATACGAAGTTGTTCAGGGTGGTGAAAACCAGTGAGGATTGTGAGGCACTCCAAAGGGATCTGTCAAGGATGGGCGAGTGGGCGTCAACATGGCAAATGGGGTTCAATGTGGCCAAGTGCAAGGTGATGCACATTGGAGCCAAAAATCCTAAATATAAATACACATTGATGGGGTCTGAACTGGCAGAGACTGATCAAGAGAGAGATCTTGGAGTTGTAGTGGATAACTCACTGAAAATGTCGAGACAGTGTGTGACTGCAATAAAGAAGGCCAATGCTATGCTGGGGATTATTAGGAAGGGTATTGAAAACAGATCAGCCAATATCATAATGCCCCTATATAAATCAATGGTGCGACCTCATTTGGAATACTGTGTGCAGTTCTGGTCACCACGCCTTAAAAAGGATATTATAGCTTTGGAAAAAGTGCAGAAAAGGGCAACTCGAATGATAAAAGGGTTGGAACACTTTCCCTATGAGGAAAGGTTAAAGCGCTTAGGGCTCTTTAGCTTGGAGAAACGACAACTGAGGGGAGACATGCTTGAGGTTTATAAGATTATGCATGGGATAGAGCATGTAGAGAAATAGGTACTTTTCTCCCTTTCTCACAATACAAGAACTCGTGGGCACTCCATGAAATTGCTGAGCGGTCGGGTTAGAGCGGATAAAAGGAAGTACTTCTTCACCCAAAGAGTGATTAACACATGGAATTCACTGCCACAGGAAGTGGTGGCGGCTACAAGCATGGACGGCTTCAAAAGGGAATTAGATAAGCATATGGAGCAGAGGTCCATCAGTGGCTGTTAGCCACAAGGTATAGATAGGGGCTCTGGGGCAAGTGATGCTCTGTCTTCTTGGTGCTTGGGGAGGGGGGTCAACAGTGGGAGGGCTTCTAATGTCCTGGCCCCACTGGTGGACCTCCTGATGGCACTGGTATTTCTGGCCACTGTGTGACACAGAGTGTTGGACTGGATGGGCCTTTGGCCTGATCCAACATTGGCGTCTCTTATGTTCTTATGTAGATGTCAGATTACCCAGAGAAGCCATTGAAAGTCATATCTATATATATGTTTGCCTTTTCAACCTGTAACCCTTTCTTCTTTTGGTCACTTTTTCAGAGATTTTTCCTTAGTTAGCCCCCTTTTGGTTTGTAATCTTACATTTAACTCTTCAAGTAACAAAAGAAAGAAGCTATTTTATTACATCAGGTGCACATTTGTTGGAGTCTCTTAACTACTATTTTGTATGGACTCAATGCCTATTCCAAACATAAGACTTGTTCACAAGTTACAGGGAGTACACATACAACTTGTGTAGAGTATATGCTTTATTTTTCTTCAAACGTGCATTGAGTAGTTCTCACATTCAGTGGATCTACGGCTGAACGTTTGATTGGAACCTCACAAGGTACTATTCCTTGGTTTTGTTTGTAAATAACACATGTTGGCTGTTTCGTACAAACAGGTATAAGCATGTACATGCAGGCTCTGTGTGTTCACTGTAGCATGTGAACAAGGCTTCTATCTATTATCTGATCAGAAATCATGAGCATATTGCTTATTCCTCTTTGATCTGTAACAGATTTTTAATTTATTTTTCACTAAATTCTGTTGCTGTTCTTCATCCCGTTTTTTGTTACCATTTTCAAATGTTCTCTGACCGTCTTCAAACATTTTTGTTCTTATTGTCCAAATTTCTCCCCTTTTGCTTCATTTTCTGAATAGAGATGGAGATGGTATCTCTTCCATCACCTGCAGCATATTACACAGTTATGGATTGATTTGTTATTGCCAGAATGCTATCTATTAAATCCTGATCATCAGGATACAAGCTAGGTTTTTCACCCCATCCACATCCTCCTATTCTTATATAAAAGCCACAAGTTCATGCTGCTGTTTTTGTAGCTTGTTCTTTAAACCTTATATAGTGGGGGCACAATTGCAACTCCTTGTGTTTTAACTTTTGTTGAGTAAATAGTTGCTGTCTTAACTAGGTCATCAGACCTGGCATGTTCTTATTTCTGTTTCTCATTAGCTACATTAATTGTTGCAGTTTATAATTTCTTACAATCATTTTTCAAACTGTCCCATAACAGTCCTTCACAGAGGATGGCTGCAAATGTTGTCCTTCACAGAGGATGTTGTGCAAATTATGGCTGCGGTCACACAGAGCATTAGCCACGCTACAGAGATGGAAGATAGGCAGATTTTCCGGGCGCGATCAAACTGCAACATCTGGGAAGCGTAGAGCTCCCATGGCGAACCCGAGGCTTCCCGCTGAAGACGCGCCGTAAAAAACTACTACCTCCGAGGTACTAGTTTCCAGAAACCACGGGGCAAGGGCGGGCGTCTGATCATGTTACAGATCAAAGAGGTAGCTCGTGGCATCCGGCGCCCGCCCATGTCCCGTCGTGAAAAGGTTTTTTCCCCCAAAGTCTCCACGGGATGCGCACAAGCACCCAACGGCGCATGCGCACAGTTTAGTTAAAAAAACCCACAACCCCCCCCCCGCCGCAGGATTGACATATGATTGGCACCTCCCCCCGAACCACGGGACATCGGCGGGACGTTTGATCCGGCGGTCACGCGGTAGTTCATTCCGGGGCAAACAGCCACGCCTCCCCCCCGCGATATCCAGCCCATGTGACCGGGGCCTCTATACACCAAAGGGATCCTGTTCCTGGGTTTCAGCCCTCAAACACTAAAGGATCCTAGTTCTGGGATTCACCCATGTTGAAACTCTTCAGAAGGCATCCCACTGCCTTTAATCACACCATTCACACAATATTTCTTTTGAATGTTTAATTCCCTTTTGTTTAACCCAGTCTTCAAAAATGTGCTCCACATAGTTCTATTATGAATACTCTGAACCAACAGTGGGCCTACTATGTATGTATAAACACCAATAGCTTCCATTTTTGGGATTCTATAGTTATAAATACGAAATGATACTAGCCGGAGCTCACCCCTGCATCCAACAGGAGCACTGGCTTGCTCAAGACTTGCAGCCATGCAGTAAACAAGATGCTAGTCCTGGGATTCATCCCATAGACGCAAGCACACACATGTCTTTTTACCACTCCCTCTTTCACATTTTGCCACAAAAAACATGTAACAAGTTTGGGATCTAATAGGCAAACAAATGAACATGAAGACTTATTTTTTGATTTATTCACTGTGAGCATAACCTTTAACTGATGTTCAGAATTATACTGATAAAGTTTTGCATAGAATATTACCATTTTTTTTAAAGCAGGAGAGTATCACTCATTCATATCTCATCTACTCACACATTCATATCTTTTGGGTGGCCAAAAAAGGAGGATGAAATATTAATTGATGACTTGGGAGTTGGTGTCATGCACAGTTTCAGTTTCAGGATGCAGTGGGTGAAGTCCAACTGTGCCTTCTTCCTTAGAATCTTTATACAGTTCTGTGGTTTTAGGGTCTTTTTTAGAACAACCTCTTACACCTGTTCACAATTTCCCCATTTTTCAGCCCAAAACTGGCCTCATTATTTTTTCTTTCATCCTCACTTTTGGTTTGCTTGTCTTAGAGAGTTTCCTCCTTATTTTTCATCAACACCTGTAGAATATCTGATATTCTTCAGCCTTCTTTACACCTTTCTCTCAAACATCCTTTCACGCTTGCTCACAGTTAGAGATGAACTGGTAAACAGAGCTGAATCTTTATATTAGTCAAATGATTGGCTCTGTGTGTGCTAAGTGCCTTCAAGCTGCTTCCACCTCATGGCAGCCTCCAAAACATCCTATCCAGGGATCATTTCGTAGAAAAAGAGGTGCAGGAGCTCATTAGCATAACTCATTAGCATAACTTATTTGCATATGCCACACCCCCTGACCTCACCGGAAGTGTGTCAGAAGGCAACACCCACCGCTCAGGCTCCACTGGACTGTTTTGGATTGCTAGCTATTGGGGGGGGGGGGACGTGCAGATCTGTCCTCGCAGAGGAGGGAGAGCTTGTACCTGAATAAAACTTGGTCTTAAAGGTGCCACTGGACTGTTTTGGACCGGGGGGCTGGGGGGGGCACTGCAACTTACCTGGCTGCTTCTTGCTCTGACGGAATAATGCTGCTGAATATGCTGCTGGGAGCAGGGGGTGGGGCTTGTAGCATGTGCCCGCCCCCTGGGCTCTTTACTGCCGGAGCTCCGCTCCTGTGTGCTCCTGCAGGAAATGACCCCTGATCCTATCCTTAACAGCCTTGCTCAGGTCTTGCAGACTGAGGACCTCTTTTCCTAGCATTATTGTCTTTTCCAGTGACTCTTGTTTTCTCATAATGTGACCAAAGTATGATAGCCTCAGTTTAGTCATCTTGACTTCTAGGGACAGTTCAGGTTTGATTTGATCTAGAAATCATTAACTAGGTTGTTATATATGGTTATTATAACCATATATATGCCCCATTTCAAAAATGAAACCTTACTTCAAACATTACTGTGTGGATAAGCATGGTAGATTATATGCCACTTTGAAGTGCTCTTATCAATTGTAAGCATTTTAACTCTAGCATTGGCTACAACCATGTCCCAGAAGGATAACAAGTCCTTGGAGGAGGATACATGTGCACTTGATGAAAATGATCAGAAGGCAGAGGATACTGGACCCACTGAGACTGATGATGTGGAAGCAGAACCAGCAGCTATGACACGGAAAAGACCCGAATCCAAAACATCTGAGCCTTCTGCTATGCAAGAGGCATTAGACCAGAAAGTTCAGGTATTTGTGCTTAACCCACTGTCACTAAGTTCTGCTATATTTGAATCTTATTCCCTTCATAGCAAGATTTGGGGGTGCTTTGCAACGTTATCATTGTGGATCTGTTAAGTCTTTCTCTGAATTTTACATTCACTCCATCCATCTATCCATCCGTACAGTGCATTACTAATATTCACAGTTTTGAGTTTGGGTTACAGTTCAGTTTATTGTTAATACGGTTCAAGAACAGCACGAAATCAGTTAAGGCATTACTTCAAGATCATATAAATATACAGTATACAATTTTAAAAGTTTAAATTCGCCATCTCTTAATATAAGTTGTATGATTTTATATTGATTGACAGTTTTAATGGAATTTTAATGTATTTTTATATATGTTGTTAGCTGCCCTGAGCCTGCCGAATGGCGGGGAGGGTGGGATATAAATGTAAATATAAATAAATATAAATATAAATAAATAAATTTAAAATAAAACAAATACTACAAATTACTGCATCTAATTATTAGAATTCAACTGCACCCCTTATTTGCTTCCTTGCGAATTTTACAAGCTGCCACAAAAAATCTGGCACAAGAAAATGTGATCTGAGTCTTTGCACCTGATAGAAACTTCCTAGTAACTTCAGTGACTGGAATAGAACAGGCCAAAGACCTACCAAGCAAAGGTAAACTTTGCCGGAATTTCCTGGTAGAAACTGCAGTATAGCAGGATGTGCTCAGTTTTCTCAATCTTCCCATCCCCACAGGGGCAAACCCTTTCTAAGAATGGAATCTTTCTATATCTCCCCTCCACTACTGCGGAGGGGAGGACATTACATCTAGCCATAGAAAAAGCCCTGAGATGGGATGGGTGGTCTAACAGCAAAAGGTAAACAGCCTGAGGCACCACATATTTAGTGTTCTCCAGCACCAAAAAGTTGGGGGCTCTATTTACGTCCTCTTGCTGTTCTATATCCAGTACCCTTTATTTAACAAGGGCTTTGGCCTGATCAAGGCCCATTGTTATGAGAATCTCTGCGGGAAGACCTGACATAGACAACTTTGGGTGAACTGTCTTCACCCATCAAGATCAAAAACCATCCCTAAGAATTAACAAAGTAAAACTATGAGGGGAGTGGTTCAGCTGAAGCCAAAAATGTATGGAAGCTTGGGCTACAAAGGAAGCAAGAATGAGACCTTCAGCTGGGTTTGTTAAAATAGTTTGATACCACTGTGGAGAGCATGGTTGCAGGCTGCCGCTGTTATTCTTGTGCAGGAAACAGAAATCTGTTGCCTGTTTGCTTTCTGGAGAACTGTGCCTGTCTCTAAACAGTGACATGTTAATAGAGCGCCCTGGGGAAAGTATTGAGAGGAAAGGCTGATGAAAGACGGATGACCAGCACTGCTACTTCCTTCAGGACTTTATTTTGAAAGGCAGAGTATGTGTGTTCTAAATAAACAAATCACTGCTGATGTGGTAGAGGGAAGGCTGCTTGGCTGTATCTCAGTTTCTGAATCCCACTCCTCCGGGAGATTTTCATGTATGAGGTAGCAATAGCAGCTGAACCATTTTGGAGAGGAAGAGAACTTTCCTCTCCAGACCTGGGAAAGCAGTCATTATTCCCTGGTCAATGAATGGGAACCAGTACCGTAACCTCTGTGGTGGTCTACCTGCTTTTGGGCAGACATTAGCTTCTGTATTGAGACAGAAGTTTTGGGACGGGACAGTTAACTCCTCTAATATACTTCGTATGGGGTTACCTTAATGACTTGCCAAATAAATGAAATGGCATATATGTGACTCTGTTGGAAACTGAGTTTTGAAAGTGTGTAATATAGATGATTTACTACTTACCTTCCTTACACAATTCAACATGCATGTGGTTTTTTTTACCTACAAAACCTTGAACAGCTTGGACTCTGCACAACGTCGATGCCAGAGCACCATAAATCTGTAATTTCCCAACCCAGGCATGTATATTCATTACGACCTTTAAAAGTAGCCAAGTCAGGCAGGTGCTCTTAGTTATCTGTGTGCAAAGTTTATTGGTATTTAAATCAGTTTTATGTTTTTAAATGATGTGTGTCACTTTGAGCACCTGCTGGCAGAAATAATTACGTGTACAGTGAATGAATAAATAAGCTGAAATAGCAAGGCCTTCCAGAGAGGCTGTGTGGCTCTCTCCAGTTCTCCCTTGAGACTCATCAAAGTGTTAATGTAAGTATTTTCCAGTAGAAGTAAAAGACCTTGTCGGAGGTTAGGTGTGATCTAAAACCAAAACAAAACTGTTTTTAGAAATTTGTTATTAGGTCTTCTCTCCTGCTGATTTATTGAGATGAAATTCCAAGCCCTGGGGATGGAGTGGGTTAGAAACAAAATTAATTTTTATTTACATGTTATCCTAACAGTAAAAATGTGTTTGAATTTCATAGATATTGTTGATAGGTCAGGCATCTCCTTATTTTTGTTTCTTAAAGGAGTCTAGTTCTATCAAGCAATCACAAACAGGATGGGGATACTGGGGGAACTGGGGAAAGAATTTACTGTCAACTGCTTCTGCTACAGTGGCTACAGTAGGTAAGTCCTGCTAAAATTTTGCTAGCAATGTTCCTTACAATCCAAGTCAAATGCTCTTTTTCATTTCAAGTCTCCCCTGGCTTTTAGAAGTTTAGCTGTGGCAAATACAAAATGCTATGTGGGAAATGTAAAAGCAAAATAATCAGGACAGTGGGATCAAAGGTATAAAAAAATGGTACAAACTCAGACATAAAGGATTTGATCCTGTGAGCACAAAAATTCTGGGCTCTTCCCCCTCCCCACTGGAGCTCTTTCTGACCTTTGTAAACTTTATACTTGCATCCAGGATAGGCACTAGTAGCCAAATGAGTTAAGCTGCTACACTGTGGAAGGAGAAGGAGGTGAAATCACTTCTTCCTTTCTCTTCCATGAGCAGAGCTCTGTGGAAAGGAAGACCCCAGACCATCCGTGCTTTCCGCTGGCAACTTGCAGCAATGATGGCTAGCTTGGACAATGCCTTTATAGGTTTCTCTTTACTTTTTCAATTTCACTATGCATCCCTGAGCAATTCATCTTTCTGGCTTGGCCTCTGTTTACTTGGCGAAATACTTTGTTTTCACTTGGGACAAAAATAATAATTCTGTTTTCTTTAGGTCATGGAATCTCAAATGTCATTGAAAAAGCAGAGACATCCCTTGGGATCCCCAGCCCTAGTGAATTGTCTTCTGAGGCCAAAAATGTTACAGAAGGTCAGTTTTTATTAAAAAACAAAAAACAAAAATGCTTCTTGAAGTTTGTTGCTTGTGGTCCTGTGATTGATGGTGTTATTTTAACACTGTTACTTCTTACTTCTAGGGGTTCTGTTGGGTATTGCCGGAGAATAGGGTGTTGACCATTGTGTGTGTTTTACTTACAGGCTCTCCAGGACACTTGCCTTTTCCCCCTTGTTCTATTATCTAAGATTAATATGCATATTTTCTCTGTGAGGAATGGCAGTTGCAATTAATACTATAAACTGATCCAAGAATGAGGGTAGAGGTTTTGCATGCAAGGAAAATATCTTCAACGCATGGAAACTGACACTTAGTCTTGTGCCAGGAGGTGGAGCAGGATCCAGTATATAGGAGGGCAAATAAGAGGAAGCGGTGTGGATTAGAGTGTAGAACATTGTGCCTGTGCTTTATGCTGCAAATGGCATCCTGTGCCTGATCTTGATGTCCATCAGATTATTGCATTTGGTCCTAATCATACAAAATGTCTAGAATCCAAAGAACCACATAACTAGTGTTGTATGCCCAAAAGTTATGGTTCTTGGGTAGACGTCACTACCACAGGACAACTGTTACTGAAAATGAGGGAACCTTCCAAAGTAATTTGTTATGACATAATAGCTTGCTTTTTTATTTTAGTATTCACAGATCCTATTGGGCATGACAAATGCCTGGGCACACCCAACCTCTTGGGATTCTGGCCAGCATATTTGTTTTATTTAAGCTTTCTTATTTGTTTGAAACATTTATATGCTTCCTCTTCAGATGGTTCACAAAATAAAACAAGGTAAAATCAAGCCATTTAAAAGCCCAGCTAATAAAACCCCAAAGCATAAAAGCACATAAACCCAGAAGATCTAGCAGCCTAATATATTCCTCTTAACAGTCTTCAGGCTAGATGCAGATGGTCAAGTAGAAACTGAGAGCCAGCTGGTGCAGTAGTTAAAAGGCTGGACTTGGCAAACCCCAGTTCAAATACAAAGTGTGCAGTGGAAGCTGTCTGAGTGAACTTCAGCTAGTCACACACTCTTAGCTTAAACTGTCTCACAAGTTGGTAGCGTAATTAAGTGAAGCAGAGGAGAATGATGTAAGAATAGTTGGGTTCCCCCCTGGGGATAACAGTGGGGCGTAAATAAATTTTAAAACAATGGAAGAGATCTTACCCTTAGTTAAAACCCTGGGGTGGTGGTATAGTGGGAAGAGGGAAGTTGGGAAAAATTGTTCCCGTCTTCAAGTGGCTGAGGTGCCTTCCAGCAATGGAAAACATAAGGGAATGGAAAGCCACTGTTTCCACAACAGAGAGCTGAGATTTAGTATGGGCATTTTTACACATGCTCCTTTTGAAACTAAACTACACATTTTGAACCACATGACAGCCAGTATCTGTTAGCAGAGCATGCTCTTCTGTTGAGATACCAGCATTTCTAACCCTTCAAATCACATGGCTTCTTTAATTTCAGAATGCCAGAATTCTGCAATAGCCAGTGACTGCAAAGGAGACCCAGAAAATCCTTCACCATCCATTACTGGTGCTTTTGGGATGTTTTCCACCATCTCTACCGCCGTTCAGAACACAGTAAGACAGGAATGTGCTTTGGCCTCTCTTTTTTTTTTGCGCTTTAGCATTACGCCTTTGTTCCACTCTTCAAATTGAAGTTGGTATATCATGGCCCCGGTCACACGGGCCGGATATCGCGGGGGGGAGGCGTGGCTGTTTGCCCCGGGGCAAAGTAACGCGCGGTTGCGCGAGCAGACGTCCGGTGGAGGTTCCGTGGAGGTCCCGTGGGTAGGGGGGAGGTGCCGATCACAGGACAATCTTGCGGTGCGGCAAAGAAGCGGCGCGGTGCGGCAAATGGGTATTTTTTTTCTGTACGCCAAAGTATGCGCATGCTCCGTTGGGTACTTGTGCGCATCCATGGAGACTAGGGGGGAAAAAAACCTTTTTGCAAGGGGACATGGGTGGACGCCGGATGCCACCAGAAATGCGATCAAACGCCCGCCCTTGCCCTGCGGTTACCGGAAACTAGTACCTCAGAGGTACTACCGCGTTTCCCCGAAAATAAGACATTGTCTTATATTTATTTTTTCTCAAGAAGACACACTAGGGCTTATACCACAAATGCATAGAAATCCTGCTAGGGCTTATTTTGGGGGTAGGTCTTATTTTCGGGGAAACAGGGTAGTTTTTTACCCCGCATCTTCGGTGGGAAGCCTCGGGTGAGCCACGGGAGCTCTACACTTCCCAGATGTGGCGGTGAGATCGCGTCCAAAAAATCCGCCTATCTTCCGTCTCTCTAGCGTGGCTAATGTTCCATGTGACCGCAGCCCATGTTCAGTTGAGTGGTCAGTTAGGACTTTTGAGTTATTTATGACTGCTGATTATGCCTTTGATTTATTTGTGATTATTAAGTCTGTGATGTACGTGCATATTAAGAAAAAAGCTTCTTAGCCTCATATGTTATGGTGGAAACTCTCAACTGCAGAGTGGAAATTTAAATGGCTTTTGGCATTTCTTCCTGAAGGTGGACTTCCTGCTGTGTTTAGGGCCTGAGCAACAATCTCTGGGATGCTTTTTGGGCTTGATTTAATGTTTATTTGGAGTGGAATGGGATAGCCTGAGAGTGTGTGCATATATTATGAAAAGACATGTGCTACTTACCATTCATTGCAAATGGTGGCACTTAAAAGGTATCAGTTAAAAGATGCGGAGGAGAAAAAAACCCTTTCTTGATGTAGCGACTTCTGTCGCTGAGAAATTCCCTGGGCTTCATTTGTTGACCTTTCTTTTCTAAACACTGTGTTAAATTTCTTCAGACTCTCAGAGGAAGGGTAGGAGCAGCTGAACTCTGGCTGTGTGCTCAAGTGTATATTCTTCTGCGTGTTGAAGTTGTCTTTCTTTGCTTATTCCATATTGGTCTTAAATGTCAGGCTGATCACAGCTGCCCTAGAACAAAATGAGAAATTGCAGTGCATTCAGGTTTATCCACTTCTTACAGCACACAGTTAAATATTTTCTCTTGCTTTGGATTTTTCACATATAACATAAAGTAATAGCATGCCGTCATTATTTCTTGTAATCTGCGCGTGTATCTTATTTCATGGGGATAGTGAAGAAAGGGCATCCTGCAGTTGAAGTACTTGGCCTCCATAGATTCCAGTGTGCATGGTACTTATACATTTTTTTTGGGGGGGGGCTGTCTGTGTTTTCCTCAGGGGCTAATTCTGTGTTACATTCTTCCTCAAATGTGAATGTATGTTTTCTAGGGAAAGACCGTTATTAGTGGGAGTCTGGATGCATTAGAGTTCATTGGTAAGAAGACTATGGATGTGATAGCTGAAGGCGACCCTGGATTTAAGAAGACAAAAGGTCTGATGAACAGGAATTCCACACTTTCTCAGGTAATAGTTTCCTCCAGACTCCCACATTCCCCCTGAGAATGTCATTTTCCTGGGAAAGGATCCCTGTTGTTTCAGAACACGAGATGCTCCAGGCAGAATTCTTTAGGCCATTCCGCTTTTCACCCAGCACTTGTTAACACTCCAGTTTTTCCATTTGCAGATCTTGAGAGAGGCAAAGGAGAAAGAAGAACAGAGGACAGCTACTGAGGTTTCCATGGCTACAGAGACGAAAGCCCATTATGGTCTACTCTTTGATGAGTTTCAGGGTCTTGCTCATTTGGAAGCCTTGGAGATGCTTTCCAGAGAGAGTGAATTAAAGGTAATAACACTGAGCATTTTACTTTTTACAGCTGAGGAGGAATAAAGATATATACCTTTGTAAATGCTCGAGGGATGGACCCCTTATATTGATCGCACAAAGCATCATCCACTGAAAATAATAATGAGGCAAAAGCTAGAAAAATGGCTTCCTAGCCTCCCATGTTTCCCATCCCTTTTGTGTGCTTAAATAAAAGGTTGCTCTGTCTTTGTTGCACTGACTGGCAAAGCTATTGGTCAATGGAATTATGATATATAGAAAGCTTCATACTCATATTACCTGGGGGGGGGAGCATGCAAATGCTGTGCCCCCTTTGTCAAAATGGAAATTGCTTTCAGCAGTCAGCCTGTAATCACTACTGCAGCCTTACTTTTCATGCCCAGTATGAAGCATTTCTGCTGAAGCATTCGTGGTTCTTTTTGTGGCTTTCTTTCCCTTGCTCAGGTGAAGTCTGTTATTGGCACACTCTCTGGAGCAGAGTTAGATGCATTAAAGGCAGAGTTGGAACAGCTCAAAGAAGCGTTTTCATTAGCTGAATTTTGTGATGATGAAGAGGATGAAAAGGAAGGTAATGAGAATTCCAACTTGTAAGAGTTGACAGCTTTCTTTTAAACTATTTGAATGACGAGATAATTTGTTCACTGGTTAGTAAGTGTGCAGCAGTAATACATGAGCAGCTCAGAAAAACACCAGAAGAAAAGACTGAGGGAATCAGATTAAGGGTCCTTTGAGCCATTATTCTGTTCTCCCAGTGGCCAGGTCTGCAATTTTAGAGGAAGCACAGGGCATTAATTGAGTATGTACTCCATGCACGTCATCTTCTGCAGGGCATTTTATGGATGCCCTTGGCAAAATCACGTTGTTAGTTACTGTTGTTTGTATCACTCATTTAGTGATTACATTCATACCCCATGCTTCCTCTAATGACCTCAAGATAAGATCTGCCATATTGTTTTTTCCTGAAGACAAACCTGAGTGGGTTATGTTGAGTAGCAATGACTGGTACACTGAGTGCGTGTTATGGCTTTGACTTTGGGTGTCCTTGATCCAAGTCCAACAGACTGTGCCACACTGGCTTCCATGGCTGTCTTGGTTTTCATATAAACTCTCTTACATAGTTAGCTATTACACGGGTCCCTGGCAGAGAGTGCCTGTGAATCTGATTCCTGTGTCTCAAATGACATGTGATCCCCAGTCAGTAGGAGTCTGAGGACCATTGTTAGGAGCCTAGTTGGCCTGTGCCAGAAGTCCTGGTAAGTGCCCCAGGGGAATCTCATCCAGCATGCCTGACTTTGAAAGACACTGTAGGAGGTCCTTCTCCCCTTTGAAAGACAAAGTCAGCTTAGTTAGATGTAACGTTGGAAACAAGGATGCATGTGACGGGAAGGTGACTGTACTTACAGTGCTCAGAAGAGACTTTGTAGGGTAGTGGTCAGGAGGTGACCAGTCCAGTTTTTGTTTCTTTTTGCTTTGTCTTCATTGACTTTGCTGCCCTTAAGGATTGGCAGTGGGAGTTGCATAACTCTCCAGTTGCACTCCTAATGACTAGATTAGTAAGGACTGACTGCTCAGCAACCATACCTGTCATACTCATAGAATTCTCTCTATATTATATGTCCCATACAGTCTGGTCACAATAAGTACAACTGGAAAGCTTTATGTGTTCGTTGCATCCTAATGAAAAGCAGCAGTGGTGCCAGGAAGGGAAAGGAGCATTCCCTCTACTCTCCCTTTCAAGACCCCCCCCCCCATAGCCAGTTGGCATCCTCTCCTGGAGAATCCAGCCTGTAGGCTGCCAGTTTAGCAGTCCATATTGTGTTAGGTATCTGCTTAGGAGGGAAGCACTTTTCTGCCGAAGCTTTCCTTACATCAAACATTAATGGGGGGGGGGGGTGTCTCTGTTTGTACAAATGCTTTAGCAAAGTATTTTCACTTGTACTAAATCTGGATTCTAGCCTTTGTTGTGCAAGCGTAGAAATTCGTGAGCATCTAGCAGCTTTTTCTGTTGTGTGAGCATATGGTGCTGCATGCATAATGAACAAACAGTTGGCTTTTAACATCATTTTAAATTCTCTGAGGCTCCACTGCAGGCAGATGTTTATAGCTGGGTGTAAGAACAGCTGTGTCAGTGTTGTTTTTTTAACTGGTTGGCCAGTTTCACATGACAATACATGGGCTGAGATTTCTAGCATTCATTCCACACAGCCCTAGGGGCTTTAGGCCCTGTTCCCTCCCTTCCCCAGTGCCCCTGAATAAATGTTCAGTTCTGTACTATCTTGGTCCTCAGAGAGCCTGGAGGATGGAGCCTTCACTGTTGTGTTGGGTGTTTCCCAATGAGAGTGCTGCCCCTTGCAAAACATTTGAGAGGCAGAAAAGGCCCTCGGTAGTCTTCATTTACTTTGTGATTATGGTGGTGGCACTGTGCAGCAAGTGCCTTTGCCTCATTGAAGCTTTGGCAGCGCTGTGGTTGAGACAATGACCTGGGACAACAGAGAAGGCTCTGGAGATGCTTTCTCTTGGCCGATCAGGGCCCTCTCGAGAGCACCTTCTTGGAGGACTGGGTTTTGCATGAATAGTTTCATATTGGAGGTATAACATTCAGCAGCTGTTTCCTCTTTCAGAAGGTGAGGACTTCACACGGGAGATAAAGGGTCTTTTTTCACAACTCCGTGTCTCAACCAAGCCAGACAAACTGACCCAAGTAAGTTAACCCCAAGAAGATGACAAAACAGAGGCTACCTAGGGGTTATTGTGGGCCTGCAATTTCTTTAGGGCCTAAGGGCAGTTGCCTGAGCAGTGACATTCCCCAGGCTGCTAGGGTTTTGCTAAAGCAATAAAGGGTATTTTGCAAGGTAGAACACCAGATATTGTGACCCTTGCAGATTATAATTAGCACACATTTTTGAAACTTTTTTGTGTTATGGCTCTGTTCTGTTGCTGTTCTTTGAGGGAGCCAGGTCCATGGGTTTTAAGTTGTATTCATGGGATATTGATTCAGATGGGTGGCAGTGTTGGTCTGAAGCAGCAGAACAAAGTTTGAGTCCAGTGGCACCTTTTAATATCAACAAAGTTTTATTCTGGGTAAAACTCTGTTGGTCTTAAAGGTGGCACTGGATTCAGACCTTATTCTCATGGGATATTGGTTCATCATTTAATGAAACTTCAAAAGTATGTCCTTACTACAACTGCAGTTAATGCACTTGCTAGTTAGAGGCAGTTTATTTTATTTCCTGCTATAGCCATAGAGTAGCAGCACCCTTTTCACACTTGCTTGTAGTACTGTGCAGAGCCACTGAGTGGCAGTGTACTCCAGAACAGGGGAGAGCGAGAGCGAGACCTTTTTTCTAGGCCTGCCCTTAGAGCAATATAACCTGTCATTCGATGTAAAGGGGAAATAATTGTCTAAGGTATACCTTAGTAACCCAAACCCAATCTAACTAAAGTTTGTGGCAAGTAACAGTAATTCGAAGCACATATGTGCACTGAATAATCATGCTGGCTGAAGACCTGCCCCAGTCAGCTTCCCTCAAGCCCAAGCAAGGAGCAATCTGTGAAGTCTCTTTCTCCTTCAGTGGGGGAAGTCATCCAGATTGGTTGGGTCACACCTCCACTAACTCCAGGCAGGGCTATGCAAATTTTCTTGCAAATCTCTCCTGGTTGGATCGGCTGACCCACCAGTCTTAGGATGGCCCAGCTTTGTACAATCCTCAATCTGTTCAATATCTTCCATATGTCTTCCCTTTCCTAGGCAGGATGTGGATGATTTCACCCCACTGAAGAAACCCTCAGGTAGGTTCCAACACTTTATTCTCCTTCAGTGGGGGGAAGTCATCCAGATTGGTGATATGCCCAAACTGTCATCCATTCCATGTCAACCAGCAGCTGGTTTTACTGTCCTTTTGTCCAAGACCAGTACGCCTTAAAGAGAAGGCCTCGCATAAGTTAGATCAGCATAGAGCGCTACGTATCTACCTAGACAGGACAAAGAATTCTAGGCTGTCGGTTGCCCTGTCTGTATTGCACAAATGCTCCGTTCCTGGGAAAGAGAGTATCAAAGTCAATGATTGCCTGTTGGGTCAGAGCTTGCATCTGTAAGGCTTATGAGGTGCAGGGCATCCCAATGCCTCGGAAGGTCACTGCTCATTCTACCAGAGCAGCAGCATCTTCAGCAGCGTTCACAACAAGAGCTCCAGTAGAAGAGATCTGCAGGGCGGCCATGTGGTCGACCTTCTCCACCTTTGTCAAGCATTATAGAATTGGACAGATGAACTCCGCAGAGGCATTCTTTGGCAGGAGGGTGCTGCAACAGGTTGTGAAGAAGGAAGAGAGAGGACCCCTCCCCTCCCGGATGACAGTTTGGGCATATAACCCATCCAGATTACTTGCCCCACAGAAGAAGAATAAAGCACTGGAAGCTACCTGGTGTTTTTTCAGTGGGGCGAAGTCATCCACGTCCCGCCCAGGAAAGGGAAGACATACAGAAAATATTGAAGAGATCAATGATTATGCAGAGCTGGGCTATTCTAAGAGTAGTGGGTCAGCCAATCCACCCAGGAGAGATTTACAAGAAAATGTGCATAGCCCTGCCTGGAGTTAGTGGAGGCATGACCTAAAGAAGAAACCTTCAGATAGGTTCCAGCACTTTATTCCCATCAGGCTGTCCCACTCTTCTGGTCCTGCTAGATGGCATATTTGGAAGTAGAACCCATGTCTGAGACCTGCAACTAGAAGCAGGCTTGGTTCTCAGTAGCTGGAATCACTAAGGACAGGAGAAGGGTTTAACCCACCCCAGTGGTATCCATTAAAAGTTGCCAGTTACTCTGATGGGAAAGCGAAAGGATTACAGTGGGAGACACAATTGCTATAAAAGCAAAACCTGTCCTCCATTGGATGGCCTATGGCCTTGCCCTCCTAACAAAGGATTCTTTTGGGAGAGCAAAATATCCTTCTGCCTTCATGCATACATTCAGGCATTCACATGTACGCACGCAAAGTGTGTTAGGCATTTTGCTAGAACAATAGTCTCAGCGTACTTCTGAAACATGATAAAATATTATGTCTTTCAGATTTCTAGGGAAAGTATTTTCAGTGTAAAGTTCGATAGGTTTCCAGCTTCCTCATTCTGTTTCTCTTTACTGAACTAAGGTGGCGGGGGGGGGGGGGGGGGGGAGGCTGCTTCTTCCACCTGCGCATATGTAGGATCGACCTCTCCCTTGTTAAATAATGTGCATTTGGGCATCTGTTTCCTCCTGGGCAGGCAAGGAGCTCTGCTTGTGAATTAGCCCACAGCCTCAGCATGCAAACTGCAAAAGAAGAGAGACCAAAGGAAGTAGACCAGCAGGTGGGCTTCGGGGATGCTGAGCAAGAGGAGAAAAAATCAGTAGAGGTAATTCAACCAAAATTAGGTTGCAAAGTAATCTAACTGGAGATGTGCTTCTGTAGTCTCTGCTGAGAGTTTACAGCCTGCCGCTTTCGTCCTTAGTTATCGTTTTTTGCAGCGAGGCATTGAGGAAGAGCTGGAACGGATTAGGACATTCGTATACTTGGGTGGCATTTTTTAATTTTTTTTTAATGATTTTGTTATTGCATTGTTTTTTGCTTTGGATATTACCTGGAGCAGGTCTTTCAAGAGGTGACCTAAATTTTTTCGTAATGATGAAATATACACTCAGCCTCATAGACTCATAGTCTTTTTCTCACTTCTGCAGGACATTCATGCATCTGCTATCAGAAGTCTGGCTGAATTGACAGCCTACTCCATTGAAGTATTCCATAAAACTGCCGCATTAGTTCTGCACGGCCAGGAACAGGAAGTGTTAGCCACAGACCGAGCCAAAGCTCTCTCACAGTAAGGATGGCCGACTGTGTTTCAGTTTTGTTGAAGACTCATCTCTTAATTTCTTTTAACAAAGAAAGAACTTTTTTATACAAGGAATTTTTTAAAAAAATTATGAGCAACTATTGAAAAGAACTGTATGAAAGCAGGCAATGTTCCTTACACTTTAATTACTATGCATTTTTTTTCTAGAATGACCATTGTGCTGTGTAAAGAACTCTCATTTCTGTCTAAAGGCTTTGCTACATGCTTAACAGCTGCAGGGGTAAGTTTGAAAGGCTTGAAAGTATTGAAACAGATGAGCAGTACTGCCACAGTGTTCTGCATTGAACTTAAATATTTGCAAGATTCACACCCCACCGTTCTGTTTAAAAAGCACTTAGGGCAGCTTAGAAAAAAATAAGGTAGCACAGTAATTTTTTTTTTTTAAGCCAGTTAACTAAAAACGGGGCCCCCGCCCCCCGGGCCGGTGATTCCGGGGGGGGGGGGGAGGCGTGGCTAATTGCCCCAGCGCAGTTTGATCCGCGATTACATGATCAGACGCGCCGGCGGCACACCACGGGTCCTTCCCTTTATGCCGGCGGGTAAATGAGCGACCGGAGGGGAATGCCACGCGCCGGCGCGATCACACCACGGGCGTCTGGAGGCAGCTCGTGGCAAATGTTTACTAGTACCTTGGAGGTACTAGTTTTTTAACGCGCATTGTCGGCGGTAAGCCATGGGTGCGCTCCACTTCCCAGATGTTGGGCTGTGATCGTGCCTGGATAATCTGCCTCTCCCGCGGCAACTTTGCCGTGTGACCGGGGCCTATGTATATAAAGAAGTAAATTAGAAAGCAGCAGTTAAAATGTATCCAGAGACCTGCCCAGATCTAACATACAGTTTTAGAAACAGCCACAATTTAAAAACCATCAACAGTATCAGTTAGCTGAATGTAAAAATCTCAAAAATAACTGGGCAGAAAAATTACCTACTCCGGGGAGATAGTTGAACTAGCCCCCCCAGAAAAGAATTGTTGTAAGTGACCTCCGGAATGCCCCCAATGAGGGGGCTATTTGGCATGTTGGTAAAAGGCATGCTGTTGTCCCGGACAGTTGTAACTGAATGAGTAGAATGCCAGACTTTCCTCATCATTCTCCATATATGAAAGAATGAGGAAGGATAATTCTTCTGCAGGCTGAACTGTCAACAGATAGACATCTTCATGAAGAATTGTGCCTGTTAGAGACTCGTTATTTTATTCTCTGGAAAGCTCGGAATAGCTGCATTTTATGAACCTTCTTCAAAGAGGAATCCTTAGGGGGAAAATGTTTGGTTCTCAAACCCCCCCCCCCCTTTGTTCTTACTGACCTCTTTTTGTTTTCTCTCAAGCAACTTGTTTTTCCAGTATTTGTAGCTAAGGTTGAACTTGTATCTAAGGTTTTACAGCTCACCTAAGAATTTGACTCCAGCATACTTTTGGCATAGAGTAGCTCTTTGTAACTGCATATTCCAACAGATTGATTCTTAATTGAGAAAAGTCAGTAAAGCCTTATTAAATCAGTTGTGGGACTGAAGTTCAGATCCCTTTCAAGAGGGTGTACTTGATTTTTAAAATGCAGTAATATATGCAATCTTTTCAGGTGGAAGAGAAGGGAGATGTCCTTAACCCTTTAATCACCGGGGTGTTTTTAGAGGTCAGTTTCAAACATTAATGTTGGGATGTGGATCATTGTGCTTATTACTGGCTGTGCATTTATCTGAAGTAGTTGGTCGGTGAGTGCATGTGATAAGAGAATTCTACGTACATGTGACTAGTGAGATTGGGTATTTTATTTACTTTATTGTGTTAGTATCATGCCTTTCATCTGTCATGGAACTCCAGGCAGCATACACAGGATTCCCAGGAGGTCTTCCGTTGAGGCATGACCAGAACGTTCTAGCTTTAGTAAAGTTGATGTGTCATGCATGCGCCTCCTGAAAGCCGAGGCTGCAGCAACCAGTTGTGAAGCCTGTTTCTGAACTTTCATTACAACAAAGTCTCTTGGTGGGATGGATGGTGAAGAGCAGTGTTCCCTCTAAGATGAGTTAGTGTGAGCTAGCTCACAGTTTTTTAGCCTCCAGCTCACACATTTTTGGCTTAGCTAAGGAAGGATGGCTCGAGAACAAACTAATTTATGCAGCAGCCAAATCTCTCGCTCGCAACTTTAATGCCAGTAGCTCACAAAGTAGAGTTTTTGCTCATAAGACTCCACAGCTTAGAGGGAACATTGTTGAAGAGGGAGATGTTAGGAGCCCTTTACAACTGCTTGTTTAGACAATCTGTGGTTGTGCTATAAAGTTTTAGCCTGGGTTCTTGGCACAATCATTAATATTTTCAGCCCCCTCCCCCCAAAGTTAGCAAGATCATAGCTCTTGTGGATTGTAGAAGAAAGTTAAGAGCATCTGAGTAATTTGTTGTGTTTTTTTAATGGAACAGGGGTGGGAAATGTTGCAGCTTTCAATAGACGGGGGATGGGAGTGTCTGCATGCTTTGTGGTGGCATCTCAATTTTCCAGTGCTACGACTTGCTGCATAATGTTCACTCAAATGACAAATTAGGAAAGAGGTGGTGGGTGGAAAGTAAATACTAACCCTTCTATCTAGCAACAGGTATTTTTTGTGGAAAGGGAGGCTCAGTATGATTGTCCCTTTTTGTTCACAGGCTTCCAACAGTGCTTCGTATATCCAAGATGCCTTCCAGCTGCTCTTGCCAGTTCTGCAGCTCTCTCACATCCAAGCCCAGGCAGAATTAACACAGTAATAACCTGAATCAGACACTACTTGAGCAGACTCCCACTGTACCTGCACGATTCAGCAACGGGATAGGCGTGTGCAATAAAAGACAAAAGTTTTTGTGTCTGGTACTTCACCAGCCAGTGATAATGTGCTGCGTGGCCCTGATTGGGGAATGTAAGTTAATGAGGAAGTATGAGCAAAGTTCAAAGAGTGGGTGGCTTTTGTCGGTGTTCTGTGTATCCATTATTCCATTTCTGGTTTTCTGTACTTTAGTGACAAAGTAAAATGTTAACCTCTTGATAATGAGATTTCTAAATCTAGAGAAAGACAGAGTGGTATAACTGTATGGATGAAACATGACCCTAGGAGAACTCTTGGAGCAAAATATCAAGTTTTTACATATACATTTGGAGCAGATTCCTGAAGTTTAGCCAATCCAAAATGATGGTATTGCAAAAACAGGGTTGGATCCAGTGATTCATCAGCAAAAGGCACCGATGGATCTTTCCTATGGTCCCATCTGACCTGGGAAGCTTGAGTCCCTGGGCTGTGGAAATTGCATGGGCTAATAGCCACCTGAGTGCGATTGCGTGTGTGTGGAGGGTGCGATACAGAGAGGGAAGAAGGGGAACATAGGAAAGATCTGTGATCCCTGCAGTCATGGATCTTTGGATACATGCCAGCCTCTTGGGAGCAATTTCAAATTATGTTCACTCTTCTCTGACTTGGAAGGCCTATGAAACAAATCAGTAATTGCTAAGGTTGCAATCCGTACACAGAGTTACACTAGAATAAGTTCCAGGGACTTTGGCGTGACTTACTTTGAGGTAAAGACACTGAGGATTATGCTACAAGTACTTTCAAGTGCAACTGACCTGGAGATTAAGTAGGCAGTATAAAACTTTTCCTTTGAATGATGCTATTTCCAGATTGAAGAAACAAAATCTCCGTAGGCCTGCTTTGTTTGGGGAGGGCAGACTGTAAGGTCTGATGATTGACACATTTTGAATGCCTTGCTCTCAAGCAGTAAATTTAAAAAAATAGCTCAAAATAATTTCATTCAAGTAAAAGTCAGGGTTATTTGGTACAGGAGGGAAAACAACAACAATAAAGTCCTAAAGCTGATGCATTATTTTGTTCCTCTTACAAGTGGCTGTGTGCTGTGGGCAGAACTGTTGAGGACTCATTAAATATCTAGACTCCCTCAGTATAGACTTGCTCCCTGTTATAACAAGCCCAAGACTCTTAATAGACTTATTCTTTCCATTGTATAGAACTGACCGTTTGCACTGTTTTATCTTGTACCACTGTGAGAGGTTGTGGTTGCTTGTGCTTTTCATCCTATATTTCTTCTGGAAGGTAATGTTAGTATTTTATTTATGACCAAGCAGTTGTTAGGGTCATAGTGACCCCTTTCCAATGTGTTCATTTTTTGTGTATTGGGGGGGGGATATTTTTAAACGAGAATGAAATTTCTACTTCAAAAGCAGAGCAAAAAGTTTGAATGGAGTAAGATGGCAACTTGCAACTGCTTGAGAGAATAGCCCACTGTCTTCATCAGAATGGGTTCATTATCATGATTTTAGCACTTGTTCCATCATCCAGAATCTTAATTTAAAGTCTTTCATTGCTAAATCTTTTTACTGACTTATTCTGTAATCCAAAAAAGCAATGTTCAGGTAATACATGTAAAATGTGTTCAATTTTATACAGCAGGACAAAAAAAATCCCTTTATCTTTAGATAGTTTATTATTTTAAGCAGAGTCTTTTTCTAGCAAATTATATTTTGAATATGTATGATATTTGTGAAATCTGCATTGTATTATAAAATGAGAATAAATGTTATTCTATGATGGTTTAAAGGTGATGTTTCCTGCTAGATTGTCCATCCCCTGTCTCTGGGACATCTTTACTGTCTCCATCTCTCCCTTAGAATTCTTACTTTCTATGGACCAAAACTATCTAACTACAGAAAAATTGCAGAATTTCTCAGCTTTGGCTTATGATATCCAGGGGAGCAGGGAAGGCAGTGATATTTTATCATGGAGATAAGGGAACCAAAGATAGAGTCCATCACAGTATTTAAAATTAGATGCTCCAAACTTACTATAACTCTGGCCATGCCATGCAGTTTCATAATGATCTGATACTCACAATATTCCAGAATATTGAGGAGATACCTATGTTAAGCTTTCTGCTATGATATTTTTCCAGGGTAACAACCAATTTAGACAACCTTAATATGTATGTATATGTATTTGTCCCTCTATATCTAATTTTTCCCTTTTACTAAATCTCATCTGCCATTCTTTTGTCCATGCATTCAATTTAGAGTGATCCCTTCAGAGTTCTTTATGGTTTGTTTGGGATTTCAGTCCTGAATAACATAATGTTCTTTGCAAACTCGCCTACATCCTTCATCCAAGACTGCTTGTTTAAATAGCAGTTGTCTTAATATATGTCTCTTCTGTTGTGAAAACTGATCATTTAATCTTACCACTTTCTGGTTTTTAATTTTTTATCCTTTTATAGGAGGATTATCACGATTTACCATTTTCTTAGGAGCTTTTTGTAGAGGAATTCAACTACAGGGTGTTATCCACTGTATTTGCATGGTTTGTAGTCTGTCCAAGAATTCTAAAAAAAAATCAATGAGAAAAAAGCTTCCCTTGGCAAAACCCACTCTTATTCTCCAACTTGTTAAACTTCCTCGTTGTTCAAGCAGTCCTACTAGGTTTCTGTCAATTAAACTATTATATAATTAGGGTAAATTTAAAATCCAGTGGCACCTTTAAGACCAACAAAGGTTTATTCAAGGTATGAGCTTTTGGGTACATGCACACTTTTTCAAATACATTGGAATGGAAGGTAGAGTTCAAAAATATAGACAGAGGCTGAACAGCAAATTAACATGTAACACGATGTTTTAAGATATGCAAAGACAAAACTAACAAGCTAAGGTTATTTAGTTTTGTCTTTGCATATCTTAAAACATCGTGTTACATGTTAATTTGCTGTTCAGTCTCTGTCTATAAGTGTGAATACCTTTCATTCTAATGTATTTGAAATGGTGTGCATGTACCAGGAAGCTCATATCTTGAATAAATCTTTGTTGGTCTTCAAAGTGCTATTGGACTCTAAATTTCTACTGCTTCAGACCAACACGGCTGACCACCTGAAACTATAAATTAGGGTGACAGCTTGTAAGTTCTTGTTACCATCCTGGACCTTCTTTTAAATTGATGCTATATTAGCGAACCTCCAGGTTTTTGGCAAGGAGTCTGACTTTAATAATCATATATAAAAGCCCTAATGCATTTCCAGCTCTCCCATTGGCTGTGCTGTGCACTCCATCAGCTCTGGCCCATCAACCGCCACTCAAGAGTACTTGCGTGCCATTGGCTGGGTGCTGGGTCCGCTCCTCTTCCCTGCCCACTGCCGCCTTAGCCACTGTTCCCTGTTAGAATAAACTGCCAAAATGGCTGTCTCTCCTGGTGAAGCCGCTTCTGCTTATGGCTTATGGCTGGCTACTGAAACAACTGTGCCTTGTTCATGAAGAGGCTTCTACTGCTGCTGCTTCTCCTGCTTGGCTCCTCTGGCTGGCTACAAAGGTGAGCCAGCAGCCATCAAATCATTCCCTCCTCCTCCTGCTGTTGGGCTAATTTCCCCCTCAGTGGCTGTTCCTAGGTAACCAAGCTTGGTTCTGTCAGTAAAAAGGTGGGGGGAGGAGACCCTTTCCAGGCCTACTTTGGCCTTTGTGGGGAACTCATTGGGTCCAGTCCTGACTAGGGTTGACAGCTCCAGGTTGGGAAATTCCTGGAGGTTTTTTAGTAGAGGCTACAGAAGCCAGAGTTTGGGGAGGGGAGAGGCCTCAGGTGAATAGAATCCCATAGAGTCCACCCTCCAAAGCAGTTATTTTCTCCAGGGGGACGGAGTGATCTGTTGTCTGGAATTCAATTGTGATACCAGGTGATCTTCAGGCTCCACCTGGAGGTTGGCTACCCTAGGCCTGGCAGCGCCCTCTGGGTGACTTGCTGACACCTGACTTTCATGACTTTACAAGGCCTGGTTGCTTGCTTCTGTTCACCAGCAGCAGCCACCCTAGGACAGTCAGTGTGGCATAGCAGTTAGTGCTTCAGAGCAGGATCTGCCAGACCCAGGTTATTGTGGTGGAAGCTGAGTGGTTGATTTCAGACCAGTCACAGACTTTCAGCTAACCTACCTCACAGGGTTGTTGTGCAGATCAAAAGGGAGAGAGGAGAATAATGTAAGCTCCTTTTCTCCTTTGGAGAAAAACTGTACTTTTCCTCCTGGGGAACCATTATTGCCAATCTCCAGGTGAGGACTGGAGATCACTCAGAATTACAACTGCTCTCCAAATGGCAGAGATCAGTTCCCCTGGAGGAAATGGTGGGCTCTGTGTCATTATATCCTGCTGAGGTGGTGCAAGGTCTGCCAGACCCAGGTTCTTGCTGTGAAAGCTGATTGGGTGATTTTTGGACCATTCATAGACTTTCAGCCTAACCTACCTCACAGGGTTGTTGTGCAGATCAAAAAGGGGACAGGAGAATGATGTGAGCTGCTTTGGTCCCCACTGTGGAGAAATACTGTACTCTTCCTAGGTAGAGGCTGCAGGGAGAGGAGAGGCGGTAGAAAGCTGAAGTCAGAGGGGCAGATAAAGGTAGATTGATGGTTGGCTGGGAAGGAGATAGGGTTGCCTCCTCCAGGTTGGGAAATTCTTGGAGATTTGAGGGGTGGAGCCTGGAGAGGGTGGGGTTTGAGGAGGGGTGGGATCTCAGACAGGTACAATGCCATAGACACCACCCTCCAAACCAGCCATTTCCTCCTGAGGAACCATTGTTGCCAGTCTCCAGGTGAGGGCTGAAGATCAATCAGAATTACAAATGTTCTTGAAATGTCAGGGATCAGTTCCCCTGGAGAAATGGGTTGAGTCTGTGTCATTCTATAGCATACCCTTCTGAGATTGCCACTGTAAATTGAGTGCCGAAGGTACCCACCTAGGGCCTCTTCCTAGAGCTTGTATTTAGTTTCATAATAGGCCTTATTCCTATTAATATATTAAAGCCAAGCCATGCTGGCGACAACTCACCTACTCTCCCATTGGCCACTGGGGAAGCTGCCTTGGCGCTCATTGGCCCGTCCCACCGGCTGCTCCATTTTTATACCCCCACTTTTGACGCATTGCACATTGGGAGTTGTAGTTCTCAGTTGGCCTTACTGCAGCCATAGTAAAGGGTATTAGAACTACAGCTCCCAAGTTGGGAGTTCCAAAAAGCTGTGGGGCATTAGCAGGGAGTCAGTTGAAGTGTTAATCAATTCAATTCCTGGACATCTCCCTGAATTACAATTGCTCTCTCCACTACAGAGATCTGTCCCCATGGAGCAAACAGTTGCTTTGGAGGGTGAGCTCTATGGCAGTATACTTCACTGAAGTCTTTCAACAAACCTGGCTCTCCCCTAAGTATTGCCAACCCCCAGGTGGCACCTGGAGATCTCCAGCTATTACACCTGATCTCTAGATGACCAAGTTCAGTTCTCCTGGAGAAAATGGCTGGTTTGGGTAGTGGACTCTATGGAATTATACCCTGCTTAGGTCCCTCCCCACCCCAAACCCTGCCCTCACCAGATTCTACCCTTCAAATCTACAGGTATTTCCCAACCCAGTGTTGGCAAACCTGTACCTGGCCACAGAACTGCTTTCCAGATCCTTGGGACTCAGAACACATGGCATAGGAGGAGGTGCTTTTCTACCTTAGCTGCCACTGCATAGCCCCAAATCAACATTAAGTCAGGGGTGGAGGGAACCATACTAGTTACCATGTGGCTCTCCTCCCATACTACCCACTTGGGGAAGCAAAATGACTTGAGACAGCTGTGCCTTACAGCTAAGTAGAAGGAAATAAGCATGGCTCGCCTCCCTCTATTTTCCCCTTCCCTCCGCCACCCCACCAGCCACAATCGGGACACTCACCTGGAGCCTCTTTCTAGAGCTCGTTGTATTTCTTCCCACAACAGGCCTTACTCCTAGTATTTAATATTTTTAAAAAAGATTCCTATCTGAATTGAATAACTCCCAGGTGAAACTTTCCTGATCCAACTATTGCCTGTGATTTTTTAAATCTTAAACTTCATTTTATTTATTTATTTATTTATTGAGAACCTTTCTCTGCTACCTTTCCACCCAAAGGGGAACCCCAAGGGGAACCCTATTATATAGACGTGAGACATATTTTGACCTAGATAAATGCCAATTTTTCTCATTCTTCCATTCTCCCATTACAATCCCTTTAAAAATACTCATGCATTTTGCAGAGAACAGTATCAGCAACTATGCAGTAGCCATATAGCCTGAATATTTCCTGCAGAATTTTTTCGGTCCTCACTCCTGCATAACATTTGTCATATTTATTCTTCCATTGGGGGGGGGGGGACACCACTGCTGTGATTCAATGCTAAGATGAAGGTGGCAGTAGCAGTGGTGAATATACAATGAGCACGATCAAATTATTTTCCTTCCCTGTGTGAAATTGTTTTATGCATTGGCTTAGAAAGCTTAATCCCCCCTGCTGCTGCGCTCCTATAAAGAGAGAAAAATGGATATTTATTCAAATGGAATAATGGTATGCTTTTTCCAGCTCTTTTCCATGTTAAATCTGGTTCAACAAAGATGTAGCCCACTAGGAAATATTTT